CGACTAAAGGCTGTTCTAAGCTCGTCTGTACGAGTAACGAACCGCTCTGCCTAGCATTTGCCTAAAGGCTCGCCATCTCGTTCGCGTAGTAGTTTCTCCGCCATATCTGCTACTTCACATAGACGGGGGGCAAATCCTCGCGAGTCTAGGTTAAGAATATATCGTACGATAGTTTGCTCTTCAGACTTAGTTAGCTTCTGGCAATTTGGCTGTGTTGTAGGTCGAAAGGTGATTCCTTGAAGCCGCCGAGAGATCTGCTGATGATGGACGTTGTAGGCTGCTGCAGCGCGTCGAATGCTCTTAAACTGGCCTGTACGATAGGCCTGAACAGCTAGAGTAAGCCTACCTTCTTGCTGAGTTAATATCGCGTTCTGTTGTTGGGGCATTATTTTTCGTACGTGAAGTTCGTGATGCCAAGAAAAAGTGGCACACTCGGTGATGTGGCCCGCTCGGTGATGGAATACGTTATATATATATATATATATATTTTCAAAGTGATACCCAATTTCGATTCGCGTGAAAAAACAAAATTATGAAGTGCATTAGTATTGCTGATAGCTGTGAAGTTGAAGGATACTACCCCGCGATCTGAAGACATGGATGGCTTGCAGCATTGCTTGGTGTGCGGGGGAGCTGGCCGCTGTGTGGTTCGAAACGAAAATTGGAGATGTGAGCTTGAGGATGAGTATGCACGTGAAGATGGACAACGCGCAAGAGCTACACAGCGAAAGCGCATGTTCAACTTAAAATTGGAAGTATCACATATATGAGAAAGACTTTCTGGCTTTGCAGCTCGAGAGGTGTTGAAGACATTTGCCCATATTTCTTCAGGACACTTTTGCTGGGTGCGTTGGCGTGACCTCAGTCCGCCATGCGGAAGAATCTCTGTAACGGGAGCCTGTTAGTTTTAAATTTGATAGGCACTGTAAACTCCTGGCGCGCTTCCTCGAGGCTAAGGTAGAAGAGCTTATCAATCATACTAAGGTCGTGGGATACACATTTGTCATCCACAAAAAATGGCGGCGAACGCAGGTGTCAGAGGCTTAGCTCTATGTCACTGGGATACTGCAACCAAAATGGTACGATTTGTCTGCGCTCTACAGATACTGGGTATAGAATAGTATACATAGGCGCACAGGCCTAACGGCAGGAAGAGCATGAGTATAATGGGCTTGCTCTGTGCTTCTGTTTTATTTGAAGTTGCTTATAGGAAGTAATTATGAAGCTATCTAATAGATACTAAATGGTGCCCTTTTATATGTATACACGGCATAGCAACACGATTATGTGAGTTTCTAGTGCTGCTAGTTATGAAAGATTACTACTGCGGGCGTATTTCGCGCTCGTTTTTTTTATTTCTCAGTGCATGAAGTATGGTCTAGAATGGTGCATGGTGGGTAAGAAATACCCCCGACAGGGATAAATATCGCAGTTGAGCACAGAGGAAGAAGGAAAGGAGGACCGCAGATGAGAAGGGGAAGAAGAGTGTACGAAGGACACCAAGGGTTGTGGTTGTTATTGTTGCCGAGACCTGCTTATATACTCTTTGGTTTCACGCATGTCCAGGTATCTTGTATGATACTCTTATCTTCATAAACAATGTCGGCTCACTTACCTCTTCACCGCCACACATATGAAATTATATTTGAGCTATATTTATACCGACACATTCATGCTACGGACGCATACCCGGTCCATGGAAAACGCGAAACACACCCCCATCACACGCTCAGGTACCAATTCTCTTATCTTTTCTCTCTAGTTTTTTTTTCGCGCGCACGCGCAGACGTGGCTAATATGAGGCTGGTACCTTTTTCGGCGCCAGAGTCAATGCCCGAGTGGAGTAAGTCAGGTTGGACCGAGTCGTGTGCGGCTTTTCTCCTGGTAGGTACCGAGTTAAGTCCGGCGATGAAACGATAGACCATGGATTTATCTTTTCTCTGATGGGCAGAGCAGGATCGCTGGGTACGACGGGGATGTGAGATACGAGGGACATCGATATGCATGAGCACGTTTTCTTTGCAGTGCTGGCTGGGGAGGGGAGGGGTGGACCTCATGCAACTGGACAGGGCGAGTGATTGGCTTATCGATGGGGGCTTCGATGCCGTTTCGGTACTATCATTGCCCCGAGTGGCTTCGGAACAAATGTCGTGGGATGCGCTCGAGCGCCGTGGTCCGGGTTCCCAAGCAGGTTTGAAAGGGGGGTTGTGCTTGTACACCAAGGGCCAAACGAGTATAGGCTGAGGCTCAAGAAGCTTCCGTCCAGGCAACTGTGTCGTGCATGCAGGATGCCTGGCGGTTTCGGCGGCACGACGGGACTTGTTGAGGCGGATTGTAGAGGCTGGGATTGGTCGTGGGGATGCACGGGGGTGGGATTGTGATGAAGTACATGTGGCTGGGAGAGGACTAGCGCGCTCACTAGCCACCGTCAGCCACAGCTAAATGGCCGAGCGAGGGCAAGCCTTCGCCATAAAGCTTGGCCTAAGGCCGCATCTCCACATGGGGCTCCACCGCTACTCAATTGCTTCACCGACCACGTTGCTGCTGCGCCTTCGTTTGCTCGACTCGAAGGCTGTTTCGTCCGCTGGACTGTTGAATCATGCCCACCTCCCGGCCGCTGCCGCTGCCGCGGCGCCGAGGTACACGTCATAGAGCAATTTCTATAGGATCCCTCGGGCCAGAAAGCTCATTCACTCCAGGCTAGGTTCAACGCCTCCGCGCTACACACTCGTTGTGGCCTGTCGTCCGTTCACTGCCCAGATGGCACCAACACCAGGCACTAGGAACGAGGAACCAGGCCCATGCAGGCTGACGCGGCCGGTGGATCCGGTAGCATCGCTTTCTACGTTACATTCCAATTCACGCGGCCGCGGCCATGCTCCACCGTCCTTCGAGAACCGTATTGCAAACGACATTCAACCGCAGCCGCCGACTCTGAGGCTCCGACTGCCTCTTCCAACATGTCATGACGCAAAAATGGAGGACATGACGATATCGAGCATCCCTGCTCGTGGCGGGAAATGATCCTCAACAAGCACAAGCATCGCGACAAGCATTTTTCCAAGCATCGCAAAGTGGAGTCGGCATCGGATCAAAGCAAATCAAGCTCTCGGATACGGGGGGGCTGGTCACGTACTACTACTCCGCAGCGGCTTTTCACCGGCTACCCGCAGCCGTAGTGGCCAAATTTACCCCAGATCAGCCACATGTGGCTGTTTCCCCTTATCCAAACATCGGAACGATGCCCGAACGCCGCATGCACATGCACCGTGGTTGCTAGCGGGGCGGTGATTGCTGGAAATAATTGGCTGTGTTAAGGACGATCTCCTTAGCTATGATGCCGTGCCGATATTGCACATCCTGGTGCATTTGACTCGGAGAGCTAGAAGATGGACAGCAGCAAAAGTATAAAGAGGCGTGTGCTTGCCATCGGTAGCTCTGCAGTCGTAGCTCCAGCGGTACGAGACCATTGTCCAATATGCGATACTCCTCAGCAGCAACACTCCTCTGCTCCCTAGCAGCACCGGCCTATGGGCTGCCTGCGCCTCAATCCGGATCAGTCCCAGGTCCCGTGGATCCCGTCCAGGTCGCCAATGCACCGTTGCCTTCGGACGCCTCGGGCTCCCTTCGGGGGTCGGAGGACTTGCTTGGCTACAAAGCGTCCAATCCCGTCGATATGAAGACTACGGTCATTCCTCCGTCTGAGTTTGAGCTTGCGCCGGGCCAGTCTGAAGACGCAGACCTGGGGCTCTACATCAATCTGGACAATGTCAAGAACCCGCAGCCAATTAGAGGAGGTACGACGGGTCCTACAGAGCCCGGTCCACGGTAGGTTGCCAGTCGATGTTTGGTATGAGAGCGTGGCTGACAGAATGAAACAGGACAGAGGCATATGATCGCCTGAACAGCGATCTGTTCATTCCTCCTGCAACCGACAAGGGCGATGTCAGCAATGCAAAGTGGCCATTTGGCTTGAGCCACAACCGCCATGGTCTCGCGGGAGCAGGCTGGGCCCGATCGCAAAATGTCGACCAGCTGCCGATTGCCACGGCCATGGCTGGTGTCAATATGCGACTCAGTCCTAATGCTTACCGCGAGTTGCACTGGCATAAGCAGGGTGAATGGGCCTACATGTGAGTTACTTGCTGATCAACATTCAACGACTGGGCTGACATGGCTCCAAGGCTCAACGGTAGCGTCCGTGTTGCTTCGATGAACGAAGCCGGTCAAACTTTTATCGACGACGTGCAGGAAGGCGATGTTTGGTTCTTTCCCCCGGGCATCCCGCATTCGATCCAGGCCTTCGACAATGGCTGCGAATTCCTTCTCATCTTTAGCGACGGCACCTTCAACGAGGACAACACCTTCCTGCTCTCTGAACTCATGCTCCGCAACCCAAAGTCAGTCGTGGCCAAGAACTTCCGCACATCTGTCAAGACACTAGAGAAGCTTCCACAGGACCAGCTGTGGATCTTCCCCGGTACACCTGCGCCCAAGGATATCAGCGAGCAAAACGTCACCGGGCCTGCAGGCGTAATGCCCAAGGAAAGTGCCTACACGTACCACTGGAGCCAGCAGCAACCGGTCAGAGTTCCAGGCGGAACTATCAAGATCCTTGACCCTGTCACTTTCCCCGTTGCTGACGGCTTCTCGGCCGCCCTCATCACGGTCGAGCCTGGTGCGATGCGCGAAATGCACTGGCACACGACTTCGGACGAATGGACCTACTTCATTAGCGGCAGGGCACGCCTGACTGTGTACGAGGCACCGGGATCGTCTCGAACATTTGACTTTTCTGCAGGTGATGTGGGTTACGTGCCCATGCCCAACGCGCACTATCTGGAGAACGTCGGAAACGAGACGGTTGTGTACCTTGAGGTGTTGCGAGCATCTCAGTACAGCGACATTAGTGTCAACCAGTGGCTGGGAATCACACCAAAGCAGATTGTCAAGGACCATCTCAAGGTGGACGACGACTTTTTCAACGGACTGTCCAAGGAGAAGAGCTTTGTGATCCAGGGAAACCCGGACCTGACGACGACGGACTTTACGCCAGGAGAACACGGGGGAGCTTGATGGGGTGATGCACGTGCAATATAGCCGCTTGTGGCAGCTAGAAGGATTTGTTGGGTTTAGGTGTATCTAGGCATAATAGACCAAGTGACTTTGAGCTGAGCAAGGCATGAGCCAAGCAACGGGCAGATGAGGCTTTGTAACTGCTGGTGCAGCAGTAGACAGAGGCTGACACTCGGGAGCCCGAAGCGGAAAAGGATTAGCTAATCAGGTTTGGCCCAAGCAACGTCTGCAGCGGTGAAGGGCCCGGCCAATGCGGGCAAAGCGGATACCTCCGCGGCCGCCCGCTTTTGCTTTCACTTTCGCTTTCACCAGCCATGCAGGCAAGGATGCAGCTCACCTGGCCGAGATGCATGCTGCCCACGGAACCGTGTGGCCCAAAAGAGCGCCAGAGGCGGGCTGAAACATGCCATGTGTTTCAGTCGATGCATGGCTTGGTGCTGGCAAGTGTTGGTGGGGCAGGCAAGCAGCTTTGCCCCTCACTTGGACCGCAGACTGTCCTCCTTGCTGAAAGCTCGAGCAACGGAGCCGGCTGCTGAGTATCCAATGTAAGTATGCCACCACGTCGCTTCTGCCTTTTGTCTGGTCGCCTCTAATCCGCTTCCCCCATTCTCTCTCTCTCCCCCTTTCAAGCAACCAACGAGTCCTCGCTGCGAGTTGGACTGTCGTGAGCTTATCCACCAGTAGTCGTTCAGCCCACACCACGAGCACTTCAACACCACTACGTACCCACTCCCACTCCCACTACTTACCACACCACAAAAGACGTCATCATGGTCGATCGTGCGAACCGCCCCTCTGCGCTCAATGCCCCTGCGGCCTCTGAGCCTGGCCCCCAGGTCGACATTGTTGGAGAGGGCGGCAGCCAGAAGGTGGTTGCGAGGCTGCCGTCGGGCGAGAGCATCGAGGTGCTGCTCTATGGCGCGACCGTCACGAGCTGGAAGAGCAATGGCGGGCAGACAGAGAACCTGTGGCTGAGCGACGCCGCCGACGTGACGGGCAAAAAGGCAGTGAGGGGCGGTATTCCCGTCGTGTTCCCGGTATGCATCACCAAGTTAACGGACTGCGAGAAACAGCCTTGCTAACAGCTGTCGTCAGGTATTCGGCCCGCCGCCCAAGGAAGGCCACCCCACGTCGACGCTGCCCCAGCACGGTTTCGCCCGCGTGTCGCGGTGGGAGTTCATGGGCAAGTCGACGGCCGAGGATGCGCTCGACTCCAACTCGGTCAAGCTCGACTTTGGCCTGGACCGCCAGGCGCTCAGCGACGAGTCGCGCAAGGCGTGGCCGCTCGACTTTGGCCTCGTGTACAGCGTCACACTGAGCAAGGACAGCCTGCAGGCGGTGCTGACGGTGCGCAACGAGGGCGAGGAGAGCTTCGAGTTCCAGTTCCTGCTGCACACGTACTTCAAGATCCAGGACGTGACCAAGATTGCCATTACGGGGCTGTCGGGCACCGAGTACATTGACAAGGTGCTCAACGCGTCGACGCACACGCAGAGCGACAACCAGCTCAAGATTACGGGCGAGACGGACCGCGTGTACAAGGACATCAAGCAGGACACGACATCAATTGTTGAGGACGGCAAGCCCCGCTTCGACGTGATCCGCGACAACGTCAAGGACACGGTCACGTGGAACCCGTGGATCGAAAAGGCAAAGGCCATGGCCGACTTTGCGCCCGACGACGGCTACAAGCACATGGTGTGCGTCGAGGTGGGCGCGGTCGACGGGTGGCAGAAGCTGGAGAAGGGCGAGGTGTGGGAGGGCGGCATGCTGGTCAAGAGCCATCTGTAGAGGCGTCGTGGGTTGGCCTGGGCCAGGCCTGGGTCAGGGTGCCTACGTGTGTATGTACGTAGATAAGTAGAGGGCGGTCAAGCTACCTCTATTGGTCGTCCAACAAGACTGCAGCTGTGCAGTGAAGAAGAACAAAACAACAACGACAGCAACAGCAACAGCAACAGCAACAACAACAAGACGGCCAAATATCCCAAGCAGCATCTCAAGGCGCCCAATCAAGTGACATGTGCAGTTGCGGCCGCTGGTGGCAAAGACAGCGATCCCACGCCCAAGACCCGAGGCCCGCTGGGAGAGCCCTGGTCGTTCCCACTTGTTCCCCACCGAGTCCCGGACGCTGTTAAACAACACACCATGTCATGACAACAACCAGCGCAATTGGCGTCAACCCGGTCATGTTAAGCCTGCGCCCCGATCGCGAAGCACTTGGCCATCCGCCCTGCGACCGCCCGTGGCCCGCCTTCTGACCCAGCAGCCCTTCCGCAGTTTCCCCGCATGTGAATTAGGTGGTGCGACCACGGCACCGTAGCATTTTCCCGTCAGATCAATTACATCCGCTGGCCAGTTACTTGCTGCGACTGGCTTCGGCGAGACGTGCCTGGGCTGGCCTGCCACAACATTGCGCGCTCTGGTGTGCGCTGTACAAAGCATGTCGCTCATACCCTACGCCCCGGCCGAGTCGCGCGAGATTGTCCTGTAAGTAATATAGCGACGCCGTGTACACAAACACAAGCTAACACGCGGGTGACAGGCGCCACGGCTCGGCAGTCGTCGTCTACGACCAGCACTCCAAGCAGCTCTCACTCCGCGACGCCTCGCACATCACGGCCCTGGGCTCCACGTCATGTCCCTACTGCCACCGGCCCTACCGCGAGCCCTCGCCCCACGACAGCGACAACAGCGACGACCACGAGCACAACAATGCATCGGGCGTCCCTACAGAAAATGGCTTCGTCAACCCGGCCTACTTCCAGATGCTGCGCCGGAGCCAGCCAACATCGGAACAGGGTTCGCGCCCGCCGTCGCCGCATAAACAACTAGCACCTGCGCCCATGCGCATGAACGATTTCCATGCGCCTGAGGGTTCCGAGTTCCTGGGGAGCACGCCAGCGCCGCCGCCGGCGGGGAAGAGCCAGGGCATATCGGCGCGGGCGTTTAGTCCAAACTACTTCAAGGACTTTTTCGTAGAGGAGCGCGAGTTGGGCCGCGGAGGCAAGGGCGTGGTCTTGCTGGTGCAGCATATTCTCGACGGAGTCCAGCTCGGCAAGTTTGCATGCAAGCGCGTGCCCGTGGGCGACGACCACGAGTGGCTGGAGAAAGTGCTGGTCGAAGTGCAGCTCCTGCAGACGCTGTCGCATCAGAATCTGGTATCGTACCGCCATGTCTGGCTCGAGGACTACCAGATATCCAGTTTTGGACCGAGCGTCCCGTGCGCCTTCATTCTGCAGCAGTACTGTAACGGCGGAGATCTCCACAGCTATATTCTGGACTCGGTCAAAAAGTCCGTCACCAAGGAGCAGATGAAGGAGCGGCTCAGGAGGAGATCCAAGGGCCAGCTCGAGGATCCCGAGAACATGCATGGCCCGCGCAAGATGCCCTTTGAAGAGATTATTTCCTTCTTCAAGGATATCACGTCTGGACTCAGCCACCTCCATGCCAACGGATACATCCATCGAGACCTCAAGCCGAGCAACTGCCTGCTGCACCACACAGGGCACAAAGTCCGGGTGCTGGTCAGCGATTTTGGAGAAGTACAGTCGACGAATATGACGAGAAACTCGACGGGCGCCACCGGAACCATTTCCTACTGTGCGCCTGAGGTGCTGCGTCAGGAGCGGCCAGGCGGTGCGTTTGGCAACTTCACGACCAAATCGGACATTTTCTCGCTCGGCATGATTGTGTACTTTATGTGCTTTGCGCGGCTACCGTATCGTAATGCAGACGGTATAGACGAGGATAACGAGGACCTGGATCAGCTGAGAGCCGAGATCTCGACGTGGGCGGGCATAGACGCCGAACAGCGCGTTCGCTCCGACTTGCCTGAGAAGCTGTACCGGTCGCTCCGACGTCTTCTTGCGCTCGATCCTGACGAGCGCCCCGGCGCCGAAGAGATTCTACATGTCCTCAAGTCATCACTGGTGTTTGACGAGTACAATACATATCCAAGCCCGTCTGGACTCGACGAGTTCAGCCCTCGCATATCGCGTGCTGATACACCCAGCCCGTCGCCTACGCAAACAAGCAAAAAGCGGACTTCAGCCAACTATGCTCGTCCTGGGCCGTCGAACCTCAGTGCCACTGTCAAGGACCGGTCACCCAGTCCACCCGACGTGCCGCCGATGAGGAGAGAGTCGTCCGGAGACGGAGCTGTCATACTGCGAAGGAAGCTGGACCTCCCACCTCCGTCTGCGGACGGGAGGACGACATCGCCGCAGCGACTCATGCTGCCCCCTCCCCCACCACTCAACACCATCTCAAGGCTCTACCGACTATCTCGCAACCCGGCCGCACTCGGCCTCACAAAAGTGGCTTTGTTCTGCGCAAAGGCGTTTAGTCTGCTTTCCCCGTGCCAGCCCTTTGCGTCTGATGCGCGTATCCTGTACCCGTTGCTGTGTCTCGCATCTATTGATTTCCTGCATGTCAGCTGGGTGGGCAGGCTCATGGGAAGGGATTTCAGCCTGGGCGCAATGGGTGTCTCGCTAGTGCTTTTGCTGCTGCATGTCGTAGTGCTCGGGGTCACGCTCAAGTGGGACAGACTGTGTGAAAGGAGGGCCATGGTATGGGATGGCATCTGAGGGCATGCGCACGTGTGCAGTGCATGGAAGTGGGATGGATTGACTTCGAGATACCTTTGCATTATTACTGTTTTCCAGCGCCGCCGCCGTGGACACACGGGCGGCAGCAAAACCACCATGCCTAGAACGAATACAGACGACTTCACTCCACACGCGCTGTTTTGTTGGTGCATCACGTGCTCGCGCGGGCGGGATGACGAGGCTGGAGGGGATTGTTTGTGCTTTGTGGTTGTGGGTGGGCCCGGATGCGTTAGCGTTGTTTTGGTAAACACGCCCTCCCGCCTCAACTCTCGACGCTGCATTGCACCTTCCACCCCAACGCGCCCCAGTCCCCAAAGTCGTCTTTTTGCTCTTGGGCTTGGGATCCTTTCGAATGCATTAGTTTAGCTTCAGTAGTCTTTACGGAGCATCTCTTTGTCCCTACATTCGTGTTTACGACGCGCCAGAGGCCATCATCTCCCACCACGCTGCCGCAGCAGCCTCACACATTCGACATGCAGTCTTCCCCTCCCGCCAGCGATGGGAAAGCGCGTGCGATCCGCGAGCTTTCACGCAGTCTCAGCCACAGCCCCAGGAACATTGATCCGCCGTCGCCGCGACAGAGCGACTCGAATCCCACGCAGCGTTCAGGCTTCGGGGGCACCCACTCGTCGTCTCAATTCTGGAACGACCCTGACATTCACCATTCTACACAGCACAACATTGCAGACGACACAAACACAAACACACTCCCCCAATATCCCCGCATTCGCTCCACTGCGAAGAAGCTGAACACGTGGGCCCCCTTCCGCTCCGAGCAGATCCAGCCCGACACGTCCATGATCAACAAGGAGTTTCTCGACTTTGACCACAGCATTTCCGACGAGGAAAGCATGGCCGTCGAGCAGGCGCGTGGCGGTAACCGTAGCAACCGCGGTACGCCCAGCAGAATCAGCTCCAAGTTCGACAGCCTCTACGACGTGACCCCGCCCACCAACCGGTCGCGTAAATCTCATCTCGCAGACACGGGCAGTCTTCGGCGTGACGCGGCTATCCGACGCGCCTCTCGCAACGACCTCGACGCTGCATCGCCCCGCCCCTCCAGCAAGCGCAATTCCCCGGCCCTCGCCAAGGAGGACCGCAAGCGCAACACTCTTGCGCAGCTGCATGCAAAGCTGTCTGAAGACGAGTCGTCATTCATGGACCAGCGACCCCCAACCGTCACAATTGACTCGACCAAGAACTCGCGCTGGAGCAACCGCAGCCGGCAGGCGTCGCTCCAGATTGACGGCAACGTCGATACTGTGCACAGCAAAGGAACGCCGCGCTCCAAGCAAAGCGCAGCCCAGAACGCGACTGCTCAGTCCTTTATTCTTCCTGATCTTCCTAACCTCACCGAGCTGGTCTCTGGTGTATTTGACGACGGCACGCCAGTTTTCTCCAAGACGACTACATCGCGATCACGCTTTTCTGCGCCACCGAATGGTGGTCGCCGCCCGACATACGTTCCAGTAGAGGGCGTCCCGATTCCGGACGAGGAAAAGGCCATCTTTTCTGCGCTCCAGCAATTGCAGGAGAAGGTTGCAGAGATGGAGCACGAGCGTGCGGAACAAGAGAAGAAGATTGAAGAGCAGGATCTCGAGCTGATTGAGCTGCGGGCCGCGGCACAAGCACAGGAAAAGTTCCGTAGAAGCGACAGTGCCCAGGATTCTGATACTAGTGCGAAGAACAGCTGGAAGATTGAGAAGACGCGTAAGTTTTTGCGAAATCCGAGATTTGAATTCATACTGATTAATTTCTTAGGACTTGATGCCACAGTGCAAACTCTCCGAACAAGAATTGACCGCGCCGACCGAAAAGTGGCTGTCCTGGAAATCGAGAAGAAGCGATTGAACACGGAGAAGGAGAGCATGGCTAACCAACTTGGAATCGCTTTCCAGACGTGTGAAGAGCTCAAGGACGAGAAGAGGGTTCTGAGCAATGAAAACGAGGAGCTTCGCAAGGAAGTGGAGATACTTCGTGCAGAGAATGAAGCCCTGCGGGACCGCCTCGACCAGGACCAGTCGCAGCACCTGGAGGAGACCACACAGCTACGACGACAGTTTGACCAGGCTGCCAATGCAACCGAAAAGGAGAATGCCAACCTGCACGCCGAACTAGCTCGTGTGCGCGCCGAGCATGACGAGAACACACAGCAACTTTCTCGCAGAGATGCAGAATTGCGACGAGTACGTCAAGAGCAAGCCGAGTACGCCAGTCTCAAGGCAGACCACGAGTCGCTGAGGTCTCAGCTTGCCGAACTCAAGGCCAGGCGGGAAGAAGATGCCCAGCGCTGGGCTCGCTTGGAGGCTTCTTTGCGCAGCAAGGTTGATCGACGTGATGAGACTATCCGACACTTCCAGGACACCACCCAGGAGCAGACAAACGAGGCCATCCGCCTGGACAACGAGAATCTCCGCAATGAGCTGCTCGAGCTTCAGGCACAGCAAGACGAGGAGTACGAGCAGTGGGCAAGGAAAGAGGCGGAGCTGCAACGGAAGATTCAGCTCCGTGAGAAGGCTCTCCGAAAGAGCCGAGACGACTTCGATGACGCTACTACATCAAGGAGTGCAAGCCGACCTCGTGCCTTTGAAGAGCCTCTACAACGGAGACCCAGCTATCGCCGCGAAGATACACGCACGCGTATCAAGAACCGTGTCCAGCAGGAAGTGCGGAACAGCAAATTTGAATCTCAAGAGAGCCCACGAAAGTCTTTTACCAACCACTCGAGGTTCTCCACTCGAAGTGCATCTGCGCCTGTTTCTACCGAGAAGCATGCGCGCGTAGAAAGCGAGGTTGAGTCAACAACTGACTTGTCTCTCGCACCTCGTTCGACGCTGCGTATCTCGCGAAACACGGTGTCTGCCAGGCAGACGACTATCCAGCCTCCTGACCTGGATCTGACTGAACTGAGCTACATCGACAAGGATCAAATTGCCCAGATTCGACGCCTCCTGGAGGAAGACCGAGTGGCCGGCCGTGAACGGGCTTCGTCTGCTCCAGCAGAAGAGGTGCCTCGCGAGGATACCGTTCGATCTCAGCGTCAGACGCGCGAAGATACCATTCGATCAGTCGCTTCGGCTAAGAGCGAACGCCGCCCTTCACTTGTACGCAAGTCATCGCTCAAGGACACTACGCAACGCACCAACGGCACGCAATTCGAGGAAGACACTGGCAACTTGTCTAACGCGGACGTGGACGCCGAGGCTACACAGACGAAGCAGTCTATCGACGCTTCAATGGCGAGCAACACGAGCCGAAGACGCCGCAGCGCTCCTACTGAGATGACATCGGCGTTCATTGTTCCTGATATTAAGCTCAGCACGTCTAAGAAGGCCAATGCGGCTAACATTCAGAGGGCACTTCCCAAGGAGCATGACAACAACAACTGCACTTTCTGTCGCCGTGAAGGTTACACCACTACCACTGAGGCTCTCCGTGTACCCAGGCTTGTACCAGCATCTGTACGCACCGCAGACGACGTGGACGCGACTCTTCGTCCTGCACAATCACCCAAGGAGGCACTCGCACTTGTAGTCAAGGGACTCAATGACGAACGCATCCACTTGCACGCCGAACTAGCCATTCAGCGCGCCCTTCTCGAACAGCACGACCCCAGTCTAGGCAACCGCAAGCGTGTTGCACTCAACGAATCTATCCAGGATCTTCTCCGCCGTATCGATTTCCTCGACAAGCAAGTCTACCGCCTCTTCGATGTCCTCGAGGGCCAGCAGGCTGATGACCTGACGGAGCAAGATGTCGAGGAGCTGACTGGTCAGATCCGAGTTGAGGAAGAGAAGACGGGACACAGTGAGAAGAAGGCGAAGAAGGTTACTATCCGCAGCTTTGTCGATGAAGACGACAGCGTTGAGATTGGCAGAGGCGGTATCAACAAGAACGATGGTGCCGATGAGGAAGAGGACAATACGCAAGAGTTGCCATGGGAAGGTTTTGAAGATGAAGAAGATTCAGGTCCTGAGGGAGATCACAGTTACTCTGCTATGGTGTTTTAGTAACCCTGTCTCCTATTTTTCTCATTGGATTCAATGGTCTAGGGTTTTTCTTTCCCTTTTTTCTTCTTCTTCAGAATAGGGTTGATGAGGCGTGATTTGGGATTTACATTGTTATTTGCATAGGAAGGGTTCCACATCAAACTGGCTGGGGTTGGATTGGAATGGATTATCTCCAAGGAGTTATTGATGTTTTTACTTGAGCTCTCTTATGTTGAGCGGATATTGTTTCCTCTTTTTCTTTCTTTTTGCATCTTTTTTCCTTGCTGCAGTTTCTCCCCGGCACATTGGGCTTTGCTCTCTCCCTCTCTCAACCTTTCTATCTCCATCTCTCTTGTTTCTAGTCCTTTTCTTCCTCTTCTTCCTCCTTTTTCCCTGACTCTCATTTTCTTCCTTTCTTTCACTTTCTCTTCTCCTTCTTCCACTCCTACCTCTCTACCTCGAGGCCTCGTCTTTCCCTTCTCTCTAAGCTACTTTGACTCACTTCGCAATGAACACTTCACGTTGCTGAGGTTCGAGTTGGTGGTTGAAATGAAGGAACGTTGGTCTTTTGAGTGAGCGAGTGAGATGGAGAAAGGAGATGGAAAAGAGAGAAGGAGGGAAATGATTGAGTTGGGATTGGAGCGGAGGATAGGGAGGGAATGGGAGTGGACGGACGCGATGAGGAGATGGGGGGATGGATGGGTAGGGTGGGGCATTTAGTGTACAGGGATAGCATGTGCGGTATTGAGTTTGATGTGAAGGGTTAGAATTGGAAAGAATAAATGTTTGAGTCAGAAATGTTGTCTGTGTTGTGATTGTGACTGTGACTGTAACTAGGTGTACCTGAGCATGTGCATGTGCATGTGGATATGTGATGGATGGGGTTTGGCGTTGTGATAACGAAGGAGAGAGAGGGAGAGGGAGAGTGAGAAGTGTACGTCACACATACTACTTTTCTCGCTATTATCTTCGACTTGTATTCTCTTTGCCTTGCTCTACTAAAACATATATTGATTTACCTATCATAGTCCTACCTTTTTAGTTGTACACTCTATCTACATATCCATATCCATATCCATCTACATCTCTATACCCATCTATCCACCTATATGACTCAACATCTCCCCGCTAATCAACCAACACCCTTTTCCCTTTTCTCGTCTCATTTCATCTCATCTCATTTCTCACACTTCCTCCTGCTAATCTTGCACAAAGGGGGGAGAAAAAGAGGAAGAAGAAGAAGAAAGGATAAAGGAAAAGGAAAAGGAAAAGGAAAAGGAAAAGGAAGAGAAAAATAGGAAAAAGGAGACACTCCATCTGTTGGTCTCTTGATCTGAATAACATTGGATACTTCAAAGCCATGGTAGATACTACAGACATACAATGCGACTTGATCATACCTACACCAACGTCAAGTTTTCTAGAATAGGTGTAATTTTTGTTAAATATATACAAATCCCTTACAAGAAACTAATTACAGCAAGTTTTAAGACGTGCAGCGTGCGCGCTGTGGAGCTATAAGCTATAAGAGCAGATAGTTAGGACACGTCTCACACTCAAAACAAAAACACACAGACCACTCTGCTTAGTAATAAGAGAACCCCAGCAACAGAATGCCACCAGAAAGCGATACTATCGAAGCCCAAGTGCTAGAACAGAGGCAAGAGAGCCTAGGCCCAGAGGCTCAGATCGACAGGGAAATGGACAGAGAGGACCCCTACCCAGCCACTCCTACCCAGCAACCAGCTAGCCAAGAGAGC